TTATTAGATTTCTGCATCTTGCTGACTTTTCGCTTCAGGATCGTGTGTTTAACAAGCAACTCAAGCAAGTCCTTGTCAGCAAGAATTAAAGTTGTGATTGCTGACAAGACTGGGTTTTCAAAAGATGAATTCCATTATCAAGTAAGTTTGTTTTATTTTGTTTTGTTTTAATAACTTTATCACTGAATTACAGTAAGTGAACGTTGTCTGAATTTGCATAGTTGATTGTCCATGCATGTGCTGTCTGCTTTTCACTGGCAATGCAGTGTATAGATTAAGAGGAGATCCTCTTAATCTGTGGCAAGTGTATGCATATGTGGTGGCGTAGTCGTCCAAACCAGCGCCTTTCACCTCTGAGATCGTGGGTTCGACTTAAAAGAGTTTGTCGACGCTCTGCGGGTGCTCCGGTTCCGTCCCACAATGAAAGTTGGCAAGCTGGGTTAGGATAAACTTAATTAAGAAAGTAATAAATGCAAATAAAACATCACAGCTAGAAACAACATACTAAAATGAGTAAAATTGCAAAGTTTGGTTGCGAAATGTTGTAAAATTCGGAAAATATAGCCCTGCAATGTTTGCAAATTTTGTATACGTTTGTATTGCGTGCGGAAATTGCTACCACATTTGGGCCGAAAATGGTAGCAATTTCCGCACACAATACAAAAGTATACAAAATGTGCAAACTTTGCAGGGCTATATTTTCCGCATTTTACAACATTTCGCAACCAAACTTTGCAATTCTACTCATTTTAGTATGTTCTTTCTAGCTGTGGTGATTTATGTGCTCTCCTTGCCAAGTTTTAAAATTACTCTATAATGGGAATTGTTTTTTATTGTTGTAAAGATAATCTAAAAATAGTCTAGGCTAAGTAATATATGTAATTAGGTAAGCTTAATACTTGATGGCATTCGAAACTTCCAAGTACTTTTCATTATTTTTAGCTTATTTAGTAGTCCTTACGCATTTTTAGGTAATATTGTGAATATTCCTTAAATTAGTTTGTAACAAGCATTCATTGTTGTTTTTGACTTGTTATATTCCTAGAATCCTCAAGTGGAAGATTATGAACCAAAAATTGGTCCAATCTCAGGTGGGACCAATGTGACGATATATGGTGAAGAACTTGATACTGGAGTTGATATTCAGGTGTTTCTTGGTCGATCCAAATGTTTAAATTTGAGGTAAGATAACAGAGGTTTAGCATTGTATATTTTTAGACACACCAGCTATCATCCAAGGCAGTCCAATATCATTTAAATTCCAGTGTCTTAACGTCACGCAAGCGGTCTACATGTCTACTAGCTAATACTGCTCCCAGGATGCAGCTGGTAATCTTGATTTTATGCTGATATTTTAACCTTTTATGTCGCTGTTGTGAAAAGGGAATCATGGAAAGTCCTTGAATTTGAGAAAATAAACCCTGGCCTGGCTAGAAAATTAGTGCATGTCATTAACAGTCCTGGAATTTCGTTCCAGCTGCAGTGCTGATAATACTTGAACATTATTTAGACTATTGCTGTTGAATAAAACGTAGCGTTTCAAAAGCAAATTTCTTGGCACTTTCAAAGATATTTCCAGTTTTAGACCCTTGAATTTACTCAAAAATATCCTGGAAAGTCCTGGAAAAGTCCTTGAATTCCATCTTCATTAAAGGATGGGAACCTTGCCAAAGTTACCTGATGATAAAACACTTAAATACATCATGTTCCAACCGAACATGTTTTTACTCGAATTTCAATCAGGATCCAATTAACGTTTCGACATTCCGGACTAGAGTCTTCATCAGGGATGATCTACGCTTGCATCGCAACTCATTGTATACTCGAGGGATGACGTCATTGGCCAACAAGATATAGATACTCTACTGATAGCTATGTTTATATACCACGCTTCTGGACAACGTCGACGACGGTTAGTGGTAATTACGGTATTTATCCCACGCGAACGCATGCTTAGTTTGACACGCATGTTCTGCCGCAGCCTCGGATCTTCCCTTACCGAAACTGCCCTTTCATTGTTCTCTTAAACATGTGCCAAATTCTAAATTGGTGCTTAGACTGGCGCTCAGACGAGGGAGATAAACTTTTCAGAATATGTCCATACTATGGCCAGGGAAGTTGTCTATAGAAGCGTGGCATATAAAGATGGATCATCATGTTTTCAATAGACATGACGGTAGCTATTTGTCACTAGAGTATGTACATCCTGTTGGTCGATGACGTCATCCCTGGATTACACAAGAAGCTGCGATGAGAAGCTGAGAATATTAATTTGCATGCAGCAACAACATGCAGCACATGAAACAATAGATAGCTCCAGAATATTTCACTTCATCCAACTTGACTTGGTCACAATAGACCCTTCCGGAAAGTACGTCACCTTGGCCATTGAGCCTCGTGTTTTCGTTAGAGTTCAACGTCGCAATCAACGTATATCTGGAGTGAGAGTCCAAAAGTGAAGCCAAGATGCAGGAAATTGAATAACTATTGGGCGTCAGTTCCAGTCCCTTTCTTTGTCTGCGTGGCCATAACACGAAGCTAGCAAGGAGTGCGCCGAAATTTCGTATTTTGAAATATATTTAAAGAATAGTAATATGATTTTATGAACTGAAAACGTGATTAGCGATACGATCCATTAGAAAAACTGGACTTAGCTGGGAAAATTGTATAAAAACTGTTTACGACCTTCATAGCTATTGAACGTCAATGGCCGCCATCTTGGCTTCACTTTTCTTCACTTTTCTCATTTCTCTGAAGTTCTTACTCCAGATATATATAGAGCTCACTGTTCAAACCAGGCTTTAACCATAGATTATAGATCAGACCAGATGTCTCACTGTGTATCTATCCCTATGATTTTCGTGTCCGCGATTTTCGCGAGGCTATCACGCCAGATGACGCGTGCGACACTTACTGCCAAAATGGCGCTCACTGCCAAAATGCGTGATTGCTCACGTTTCATGGCGTCGGAATACACTTACTGCCAAAATGGCGGCCAACGCGTGCTCATAAAAAACCGCGGACACAATTTTGGCTGAGTGAGACATCTGGTATTACCTATAATCTATGCTTTAACTCACCCCCCATAATGACACCAGAGTGTCGAAACGTTGAGCAGGGAGTAGAGTTAGCTAGTGTTGACATGTCTGATATTAAACCTGTTGCGGTGAAGAAATAAATTTCAAATCATGCATGTTCCAATATTTGTTCCAATATTTGTAGGGTGACAAAAACAAGGATGAGATGTACAACATCGCAGTTTCAGAACATAACAAGAAAACGAAGATCAATATCAAATGATGAAACGCTGGTGGTCACATTTGATGGTCTCCCGCCTGTGTATGGCGCAAACGTTACATCGTTCAAATATGTTCCTGATCCCGTTATAACTGATATTACACCACGTATCACGTTCCCAAGGTAGGAACACAAGTTGCGGACTTTACATGTCCTGCATGATGCAATTTTTCACACATTATACACACATGTCGACAAACTATACACACATGTCGACAAATTGTTATCAGCCAGCCTAGAAATAAGGGCATCTATTTAAATTTCAGCGCTTTTTCGCATGAGAAGACTGGAATATAGGTAATTTCGGGGCCGGACATTGGACCGGAAGAGAATCCCGCCAACCTCATGCCTAGAGGAAAGAGCCTGGGTACGATGTTGGAATCCGGCCTTATGACGTCATACAGTCGATTAACCTGGAAATCAACTACCACCCGCAGTGCGAAGGCCCTGGGTCTAGGCTGGTTATCAGTATTATTTTCCTTTGTTCTGATTGAATTTCTTCGTTTTTATATTTATGAAAGTTTTCCATGGTAAACCCTGGGAACAGACGTACTGTACTGTTGCGAAAATGTTTGAAAATTTCGACATTTCCATGAATGTTTTCAGCTTGGGAAACGTTGTGGTAACAGAATTACAGAAAATATTTCCCAACTAATTCATATTTCGTTTCCCTGGTGTGAATTTCGTTGTGGAAACAATGTTTCTTATTTTGCTCTAAACAATGTTCCGGAACAATGTTAAAGCGTTACTTTATATTATAGGGCTCACAGGAAAAGGACCACTACATTACCACTACAGCCTATAAAATTAAATTACCACCACAGCCTATGAAAATACCCACAGGAGCTATTTACGATAATACATTTAATTGTTGTAGTAAAAAATTTCGTTAACACAATTTTTCTTCTTTCTTTTAAGTTCTGACCGACAAATTAATGTCACTGGTTCCGACTTGAATGGCATACATTCTCCTAAAATTAGATTGATATTCCAGGACAAAACTTATGTTGAAAGTGTGAGTCATAGGTTAAAAATACTGAATAAATCCCTGAATTATAACACATAACATATATGATATTTGTGATGTTACTCTGAGTATGCATCCACACCGGGCAAGCTGAAAAGTTAGCTTGGCCACGGTGGGAATCGAACCCGCGACCTTTGCGATACTAGTCCAATGCTCTAGTTCGACGCACACTCAGAGTAACATCACAAACATCATATTCACCTGAGTACATATCACCAACACTCCAGATACAACTCACTGTGTTAGCTGTGGTGAACAGCCTTTCAGGTTGTTAGTTTGGGCGTGGTACAATACATGTTTCTTTGATCTCTGCGACGCAGTTATTAGAGAGGTTATCTTAGTCGCATGATAAGAGTACATCCGAATACCAGAGATTTTATATACTCCTGTTTCTCGTTGTTACAATACTGGACCACAGATAGCTTTAAGGCTTGGGATTGGATAGATTTAAGTCTTTTGACGTTTAGGATTTGAGATTAGAGTTCAAGACTTAGAATTGAAGAATTAAGCAGATTATACAGCCCATACCTAATTCAAAAGTTAATTCAAAATATTTTTTAAATTTATATCATTGTGATACATGTGTTATTATATTGATTTCTTTCATCTCGTGTTATTTAGGTTTGTGGCAAACCCAGCTACGGTAACATGATCTGTCCTTTTCCAAATTTAACAAGAACCGTAACAGCTCATCTTCAAGCTGAACTCTCATTTTCCTTGGACGCGGTGACAACATGGGAGGTGTTCAGTGGATATCCAAAGTTTAAGTCAATGACCATTGTTCCAGATCCAATTATAACTAAATTTGATGGTGTTTTTGTTTTAAAGACCCCCACACTCGAGATTAAGGTAGGCGTTAGAAGTTATTATAGTTAGATTTAATATAAATTGTAACCAAATTGAACTTTTGATGCATGACCTCTGAGTTTTCGTGCAGTGTTAGCTGGGAAAGAAATATTCGGAAAACTCGAGTGAGATGATGCATTTTTATAATGAAGCATTTTAAAAGTTAGCTTTTGACTCGCGTCCTCGCGGGAAACGACAATGGGAAATGACCAGCGTGCTTTGCGCGCACTGTTTGGCTGCGAATCGGGCCTTTCGGAACCGGAAATCGGGCTGGAGCACGGCGTTCGTTCTTTTGATTTTGCATGCTAGAAGTACGACAAATGGGTGAAATGGCAAAATTCGCACGGTGCCCAGTTTGCAAAAACAACTCTAAATCTTTCTGTCACTTTCATTTGATCTTATCCGTGACTGTCGGCCTCAACGGCCTTTGATTGAAAGACTCGTATCACATTTATCAAGTTAAACTTAACTTTAACTTTAATAAATTATGCGGCCCTGCATGGGCATCTCAATAAATTCATAATAACAGTTACATAAAATATATCTTAGCTTGAGTGATTAAAATATATCTTGAGTGGTTAATTATGACCTTATTCATGATCCAGATGCACAAATAATTAAAGGGCGAACTCGTGAGGTTAATGAAATAAACGTTATCAATTCACTTGAATGTAATCCTGAAGTCACCGAGGCGACGAATGACTCCCTGAGAGAATTAGTATCAAAATTCCCAATCCAAAACCAAATGAGATCTCCCCCAGCAATTCTCCTACAACGAGCAATTCTCTATTGTCTAGCCACGTAGAACTAACTAATTATGACCCTAACCATGTTTCGCCTGTAAAAACCTCCCACGGTGACCAACATAAAAAACTTGATTCGAATGCAAAGAAATCGACAAATATTATCGACCACAATTTACCACTTCTTGATAATAAACGATTTAACCCGACCTCTCCACCTCTCAAAGTAAACGTACAGAGATCGGAACAACAAAATGGACAAATACGAAGCAATTATTTTCGAAAGCGCCCCCGAAAACGTTCTCGTGCCCGACTATCCCAAGAACGAGAGAATTACTATTACCAAACCTCTACCAAAACAGGCCAAAACATCAAAGTCCCATGGTTCTGGTATCATATACAAAGAAAGGATCCAGATTGGATCGAACATCTAGATCTGGTACGTCGAATAACTCTCACAATAACACGTAGTTCAGTTTATCAATCAGAGCCCCATGTAATAGAAAATCCCATACATGAAATCTCCACAAGAATTACTAGACGTAAGAGACGCTCGTATCAGAATCCAGGTAGAGCAGTCAACTATCATGCTCCGAAGAATTTGAAAAAGATAAAAATCCCCAAAAGGTATGATATTCCCACCATTCTATCTGCGAATGTGAGGTCGCTGCCAAAGAAAGTAGATGAGATTGAACAAATAGCTCTGCTGTATTCTGTTGGTGCTATTTGTATAACCGAAACTTGGTTATCGCCAGAAATTCCTGACTCATCCATTTCTATTCCTGGTTATAATTTATTCCGCAGGGACCGAATTGAAACGTCTGGTGGTGGTGGTGTGTGTGTACGTAGACCAAAATATACCATGCAAACTTTTGGAATTCAGTGATCAAACGGAGCTCGAATCAATATGGATATCAATGAGAACACATAGTTTACCAAGAGAAGTTACATCAATCGTAGTAGGCGTGGTCTATCATTCGACGAGTAATGGGAAACCTGAGAACATTATTTTACGTGATCATGTTCAAAAAAATCTTGATGCTGCGTTACTTAAACAGCCAAATGCTTTAATTATTCTAACAGGCAATTTTAATCCAACATCGACTGGTTTTAATAAAAAATATATAACCCAAGTGAATAGCCTTAAACAGTTGGTTACCTTTACAGGTAAACTACGTGAAGCGTTCCTCTTTTGAGTTTCTAAATTGATTGCAATTTTCCTCATTACTTTTGCAATTTAAAAAACTCCCTTGCAAATCCCTTGAGGGAATTTGCAATGTTGCAAAGGCAAAAAAAAATTCCTCAGTTCCTGTTAGAAGTTCTTAACTTCCTGTTACA